ATTGTTTAGCGCAATGTAAATCCTCACTTTATCTTTTAAGCTTTTGCACAACTCTGTTGTGCAATATAAGTCCTAACACCTTTAAGATTCCAAGATTACCGTACGATACGGTGTAAATCCTCCTATCCTTCTAAGCTATTTACACGATCGGATATCGTGTGAATGTAAGTCATAAATTCTAAAATAAATTGCAGGATTAAACATTGAATAGAATCATTTCAAAGACATAAAGTCAAACAATATGATAGATGGGAAGTTGCCGAGGTTCTCCTTGTATCTGTGACATCCCATACTCTTCATTTCTTTGGACTCCTTAAAATACTGTTCCTATTTGAGTCACTCCCATTTGACTTTCCCGTATTCAATCTTGAAAACCTAAACTTTAAAAACTTAAAGGCAGAACTACTGTTCCCATTTAAGATGTAATTAACTACAGAAGTTTGCTTCTATAGAGAACTAAAAACTCATAATAAAATAAACTCTATCTAATCCTTATATTAGGTAGGGGAACTTGTCGGTAATATATAAAAGGTTTCGCAGATCAAACTGATGTCACAGAATTCTTTGGTTTCGGTGGTTAGGCCTACTACAAGTGATATGTTTATCATTTGGGATAGTATATTAGTTGTGATATCGCGCTCAGTCGTCCAAACTATATCTAATATGTGAGACCCATTTGGTCTCATTTATTTTAAAATAAGAAAATACTATTTTTTAAATCAAAATTACATAGATATCTATATATACTTATGGTTTCAAATTTAAATCCATATTTTCCAAAAATCCCAGTCGGCACCTCCCAATGGTTGTTTCTGGTAACACAGCCTTCCAGCCACCTATACCATTCCTAGTTACCGCCTACCGACAATCAACCACCCCAATCCTTACTTATCTTCCCTTCCAAGGTTGCAGTCAGCCTTGCACAACCACCCAACACCTGTTTCCCCCCTCTTTCCAGCATGTTGTCCAGGTTGCCACTCCTTCCCGTTCGCTGTCGTCATCCGGAAAGCAATAATCTGTCATTCTCCTTCTTTCCCAGACAAGTGACACGTTTTCACCCCTAAAACAGCCACCTTCACTGCTGCAACCGCCACCTTCCAATCACCATCTAACCATTCCAACCGCTTACTACCACTTCCAAACACACCTAACCGACCACCACTCTTTTGGAATACAACTGTAGTTGAGTTTTGTGTCATGTCTTTTGTTATTAACTATTTCAGTGTTATTGTTGTAAATGTCTATTAACTTTCTTGTAGCTGCAGAAATAGTAAGAGTGTTGCTTTGTGAGACTGCAGTGAGGAAAGGTGTAGGTGGAGTTGGGGAAAGATAAATACTCCTCTAGAATGAGATACAACTGGAGCACAACTCGACTCCTGGAAGAAAATCACCACCACAAACGAGCTACAGCCAGAGTACCACCCGCCTATGGATAGAGCCCAAGAAGGTGAAATTTGACGATGTCGACGGTAGTCTTGACTAAGAAACAAATGCAAAAGCAAACCTAAACACAAATCACATATTTATATGCGTATGTGTATATATAGATATATATATAGATATATAGATATTTAGATATATATATATATATATATATATATATACATATATATCTATATATCTATATATATATCTATATATACACATACACATATAGATACATAGGGTAAAGAGGAATGGACCTCGCTCCATTACCTTGATCGAATTGATCTGAAGCAAATATCGTACTACTCACTGTGTCAAGGGCTAGGATGCCCTGCACCAGTCTTCCAGGGTTAGGGAGCTTCAATCTCGGCCGTCGAATTTTATGTCTATACATTGAAAATGATAAGAGTTAATGTAACCTCCAGTGGTTGAAGTATGACTACAACCTAAGAAGCACCTAGATCTTATTGGAGATTGTACTTGTTTGGGGTTAACTCTGGTACTATTCAGTATCAAAGCTCGCAAGTGGAGAAAACTCAGATGTTTTGGGGGACAGTGCTCCAATGGAACCCAGGTGCTTCTCAGGCCATTGGTTTGGGGACCTTCAATCTCAGCCATCGAAGTTTATGTTTATACATTGAAAGTGATAGAGTTGATGTAACCTCCAGGGGTTGAAGTATCTTCGACTACAACCTAAGAAGCACCTGGACATTATTGAAGACTGTATTTTTTTGAGGTTAACTCTGGTGCTATTTAGTATCAGAGCTCGCAAGTGGAGAAAACTCTGATGTTTTGGGGGACAGTGCAGTCGCAAATGAGATTCAGGTGCTTCTCAAGCCACAGTGGAAGATTCTTCAACCCCGAGAAGTTACAATAACTCAATCACCTTAAACGTAAGGACAAAAGCTTCGACGACATGGGTTAAAGCTCTCCCAACTCAAGGAGATTGACGCTGGAAGTCCCTACCCCAGTGCGATGAGTGCCACGATATTTTCCTCAAACCGGTTTGGTCCGTGCAAAGGAGGAACTAACTGATCCTTCCAAGCATGGGCTTCCCTCCTATTTGGAATGGGGTCCACTCCTCTTTACCCTAGGTTTATATACATGTTATTTCTTTGTGTCTAGGCCAACTTTGCATATGTTTCTTGTCAAGATAGCCGTTGAGGTCTCCAAATTTTCCTTTCTCGGGTTTTATACAAAGGTGGTGCTCCGATTGTAATCGTCCGAGGTAATGATTTTTTTTCCAAGGATTGACTGGTGTTTCGGCTGTAGCTTGTTCCCAGGGGAGTATTTATCCTTTTACTATTCCTACAACCACTAACGCTCCATATCGCCCTTTCCAAACATTTTGGTCACCCTTACCTGCCTCTACTGCCACTGCAAGCCCCCAAGCAGCACACTACTATTGTTTGTTTAGTCGTTTCCTATTGTTCCTCCTTCCCACACCAGCAACCAGCCATCCTTTCTCCTCCTTGCCATCAAAGTCGCAACCTACGACTTTCATGACAATCGCATCTTCCAACCTGTAGCAACCCACCTCCTCCCAGTGTCGCTACTTGCTGCCACTCCACCACAGTCCCCCCTTCCAACCTGTTAACCTCCAATGGCAACCAACCATTACCCGTCTATCCCTCATAACCGCCTGCTTTCACCTATGGATCAAAACCCTAATTGAGGAAGTGTTGTGTCTGTAGTTATTATTTTCCTTTTGAGTTTGCGTACTGTTGATTGGCTTTTCCAGTAATAATATTGTTAGCTTATTGTTGTTTGGAGTTAACTCTGATATCATACATTCTATAGGCCTTGTTTAGAAAAACGTTTTTTACATCTACTTGGTAAAGGAGCAGTTAAGATTAATAAGAAGATAGGCTGCCATGACATAACTAAGTTTAACAATTGGTGCAAAATTTTCTTGATAATCAACTATTAAGATTTTTGTTTCTTGAACCAAGATTAGCTACTTCTAGCAATTATTAAATCATATATTTGATTTAAGTTTGGAGTTTCAATAAATTAAGGAAAACTTGACTAAATGAAATTGTAATATATTTGACATATCTTAAGCCATCTAATTGAAAATAAAAAGTTGAATTAAAATTTACAAACCATAATAAGTCTTCTCAACTTTCAATTTATATTCAATCAATGAAATTAAACTAAACTAAAAAAAAAATCATTTTCAAACTAACAAATGATCAAGAATAAATTTTCAGGCAGGGTAGTTAGCTTAGTTGATGTAGTTCTTGAAAGATGTTACTAGGTTCCTATAGGGTCAAATCTAAGAGGCATATTCATAATACTCCCAATAAACCCTGTTTGGAAAAGCATTTTTAACTTCTACTTAGTGAAAGAGAAAATCAGGTTTAGCAAGGAGAGAAACTGACTCAGTAGAGTTATTCTCAACAACTGGTGCAAAAATTTCTTGACAATCAAATGTCAATCGATTTGTTTCTTGACCCAAGATTAACTACTTCTAGCAACTATAAGGCTACTTATTCGATTTAGGATTGGGGTTAAAATAAATTAAATAAAATATGATTGAACTAAACTATAATATATCTTATGTAGTTTATGCTAACTAATTGAAAATAAAAGGTTGGTTTAAAATTTATAACCTATAAGAAGCATGTTCTACTTTCAATTTATGTTAAATCAATTAAATTAAACTAATTTTAAAAATCATTTTAAACCAAACCAAATAATCAAAAGATAAATATTTATGGTTGCTACTTAGCTTTGTTGATTAAAATCTTGAAACTTGTTATTATTTCAAACTCTAAACCAAGCTAGAAAGAAACCAAACTAAATAAAAGAAATAATTTGGCCTCAATTCTCATCAATTTAGATTTTCATTTAGGCTTGATTCAATTTGGATTCAGAATACTGTGATTTGGCACCAAATAAAACTATGCTGACACAATGGGAAGTGCATAGTAATTGTCAATCAGTCTTCTTACCAACAAATGAAGGTTTCTCATCATTATATAGAAAATACCTGGCATGAAACAAGACTTAATTTCAATGATTTTGAATATTATATCTTGCCTAATAAAGAGTTTATAGTTATATTACAAAATACAAATATTTACAATTGTACTATTTAATTACATAGATTCTATAGATTAAATATACCCAACAATAAGTATGGGCTATATCTAGACGAAAGTAATTCCACTAATTATTTAGTTAGACTAAAATATCAAAACCAATTCAAAAACATAATCTGAACAATGACTTACTCTATTGGTGTCAATCCAGATAACTATCGAACCTTTTATCCTATTAGAAAGGATTAAGGAACCTTAAGATTAGAGCCATATTTTAGTTCACATCTAAGCCACATTTAATGCACGTCATACTTAATAGATCTTCATACAAAAAGAAAATGATGAGGGGTCTTGAATATATGAACTATGAAATATTACACTTCCCAGGAAAAATAATCATTTCGGTTCAAACAACAATTAATGCAAGTCACCATGTTATTCTATATAAAAAGAATATAGAAGATCATTACTAAATAGAAATGAAAAGAACCTTATGATGAATAGCAGGAAATGAGGTTATGAATCTACCTTCGTTTTGAATATTTAGAATGCATTGCCACAGAATGCTTGAGGTTCTTTAGATAATCAGAATCCCTGTTGCTGTCTTCATCATCAACATTATCATCACTATCAGCTGCTTCAGATTTCAATCTTGTGTAACTGCAAATCCATCTCAAAACGTAGACATTGAAGTAATAGCTAACAATATCTTTCCTTCTTTTGGTGGTGAAATGCTTCAAGGCTTCGTCCCAGAAACTTCTACCTTTTGATTCAGGATTTAGTCTGACTATCTCATCAAACTTCGCCTGCTCTTTAAGGGTCCAAGACTTGGAGACTTCTTCACCCATTTCATGGAAGCACCAATCAAAGAAAGCTGGACCCAGATCAGACTTCAGGTGACGTCTAGCTTTTCTGACATGAAGCTTGACACAGTTTACTGATCCTGAGGAGACACAACCACATAAGTCTTCCCTTCCTTTGCCAATGGAGCCCCGTTTTAACTCATTATCATTCCACTTTTTTGGTCTTACTATGGTACCCAACCACCTTGACTCATCTGAATTATCCTGTGAATCATCATGCTTTTCAGCTGGACCAGTCCAGTCAGGTATGTCAGCTTGAGCATGACCACCGATTGGAATTCTTCTTAAAGGATATGTACCAAGGATCTCACCAAATTTTTCCAAATCTAATAATCTTTTAGACCTTCGTTTTTGCAGATCTAGTGTCTCACTGCTCATATTGTGATAGGTGTGCCTCTTCCTTTTCTAAAACATTAAATATCTCAATTGGCTACTTGAGCAATAAAAATGAATAGAACGTAAAGCTAAGGTTTAAACTTTCCATTAAAAGAAATAAACAAGAAAAATTGTTGAAATGTGAAAATAAAAGCAAGAGACACAAAAGTGGGGCAATCAACATTGGAAACCAGTTCACAGCTGAGACTTTGGTCCAAGGATATAAACAAGCTTTTCAAATTCTGCTCTAATTTGCAAGCATGCGATAAGTTGCAAACATTATTCCATAATAGCAACAGATGGAAGATATTGGCAAGCATTTGTTTAATTTATGGATAAGCTATCATGAAAATAAACTAGATAGGTTTGAGTCAATTAGGTTCGATGATGTACAATTTGTTTAATTTATGGATAAGCTATCACGAACCAGACTTAGTAATAGGGCAATCAAGGGTAAGCCGGTGGGTTCTATGCTTAAATTTGACAAGTTTTAACCAAGCTGCTATAATAATTTTAGCCGTATTATTTATCATAATTAGCCTCTTTGTTTAAAGCTTACTAATTTATCATCAGGTGTTTTCCTGTGATGTGGAACTAAAACAAAGCAAATTCTTCTATCTGCTGGATAGTCTCTGCAAATGCTGCTCACTCCAAAACAATTCAAACAACACATGGGTTGGTTGGGTTTGGATGAATAAGAATAAGGATATTCCAACTCAAGCATGCTAAAAAGAGCTATGCTAGATACCACATTACCCTTTTTCCCCGGAAATAGAGGTTCTATTAGATGTGATCAACTTAAGAAAGAGAAGACAAATTTTGCTGAAAAAAAGCTATTAATCACAACCATTTGCTATTATCCATGAAATATTAATAGAAAAAATCTGACTCAAATGATAATTTAGTAGCCACATAATCAATTAATTTTGTTCATAGAAGGGAAAATGCATTGTCAACAAATCAAAAGGAGATGAAGAAAAAGAGGTGAAAGATAAAAGAGACGAGAAGAGGGAAAAAATAATTGATTAACAAGTGAATCTTAATGAAAAGGATAAGGGTATGGAGTTGCATGAAAAGCTACCATAAACTTTTTGAATTGATATAAAAGACAACAACATTTCAAATAAAAAAAATGGTCATCCATTGCTCTCAGGTTTAGGTTTCCTGAAGAAGGCCACTGAGAAAAAAGACATGCCTCTCACATTGAGAATCTTCAATTTTGTTTCCTATATGCACTTTGATTAGACAGTTAAATGCAAGTTTAACACTAAATCTAATAAGTTCTATTTAAATGGATATGACATTAATGATTTCAACTATGATGCACTGATATGGACACAGAGAAACAAACATGACACGATATGAACATAGATCATATCATTTATTTAAAATATAGGCAAGTCAACAATATAGATATTTTTTAAAACTAAAAACAGAAAAATTAATTATACAAATTAAATACACAGAGAATGCATACAAGCTAATTTTTTATTACAACTAACGTAGTTCTATATAAAAGGAAAAAAATTAATATTTTCTAATCAACATTTTAAACAAAGTTAATTATAAAGGCATATTTCAATTTTCACCTTCAAAAACTGTCGGATCATTAGGAGAGAAATTAGAATTTTCTTTTATTTTAGTATTTCTCTAATTTTAAAATTCTCTATTGTTGGTGGTTTCCTCTTTTCTAGAATGAGGATTTTGTGTTGATTTTGTGACTTTCCTAATTTGGTGGCTTTCCTTTGCTATTTATCTTGTAAATATCTCTTATAAAATCTAAGAATTAGTATTTTTTTCTTCTCAAAAAAACATTCAGGGTATTAGAGCTAGGGTTCTGCAAAGCACAACTCTTGCTACAGTACAGCTGGTTCAAAACCACGCTAATCTTTGACCTCAACAACACATTTGAGGGTTTCAACCTCGCCTTCTTCCTGACACTAGCGACACCATCTTTTGTGGGAAGCTTCTCTACCTTGAGCTTCTTCTCAGAGGGCATCTTCTCCACTGGAGCCTTCTACATCGCCTTCTACACAAGTGCAAGTTTCTTCACTGCTAGCTTTTTCTCATCTTTAGGCGCCATATCGAAGGAAAGTTTGACAACGCTCCTTCATCTCTGAGCCCCAGTTATGAGCAAAAGCTTTGGCTCCTGCCAAGCCTCGACCAAACTCGTGACAAAATTAGGCGCTAGAGATTCTCGTGATAGCTACAACTCAAACTTTTTCCATCCTCTTCTCTCCACTAATGATGTCATATAAATCGACAATAACTGGCGACCAAAGAAATTTTACTATTTCTACATGTTCTAGTAATTATAAAGCCACTTTGCCCCACCCTACAACTCCTCTAATGATTGTATCTGCTAATTATTATTCACAGAATTCAGCCCCTTATCTCATGGTATAAAACTCAGTGGAGACAACTATCTCAAGATGGCTCAATCCATAAAATTAGCAATTGATAGGAGAGACAAAATTGGGCATTTAACTGGTCAAATCTCGAAACCTTTCGCTAGTAATCCAAATATAAAGAAATGACATTCTAAGCACTCTCTTATTTCTGCTTTTGGCTCATCAATTATATAGAACATGTCATAGCAAAACCTCACCTATTTCTTTCAACTATAGAATGATCGTGATGTTACTACATGTTACAACGAGTTGGTAACAGTATACTTGTACAATGTTTACAGGTTTTTAGCTAGCCTTAATTAGAGTTTAAACGAAGTCAGAAGTCGCATTCCTATTAAGAAACCACTACATTCTATTAGAAAAGCGTTTTATCAGGTTAGACGTGAGGAGTCAAATAGAAAAATCATGATGCCCAACACCTACCTCTTTTTAACCATGAAAATGAAAACTCGAGTTTTGTGTTAAGAGGTGTTGATACTAATAAAGAAGGGCATAAGAAACCATGGTGCGAGCATTTTAAAAATCATGTGAACGAAACATGTTAGAAGCATCACAGTAAATCTATGAATTTACGACCAAAATCCAAACATGAAGGTCGCACTTATTCAAGTCATTGCTGAAGATACTCAGGAATCGTCTACTAACTCAGATGCTTTCACCAAGGAGCAAAAAGAGCACTTGCACAAGTTGTTTCAATCTCCAAAATTATCAATGGCTTTGTCTTGCTCTATAATACAGACGGGTAACTTTCTAATCACTGTGTTGTTAGGTGTTACTCCCGATTTTATTCATTCTTGGATAATTGATTCTAGGGAAACTAATTATTCGACTGATTGCTTTAAGATTTCTTATCCTATAGATCTTATGCAAGCAAAAAGAAATATCAAAATTGTTGATGTTTCCCTATTGATATATCATGACTTGACTCGAGGCTTGGAATTAGCCAAGATGGGAGCGAACGATCGGATGATGGCAATAAATTCTCTGTTTTCTATTTCTATCACTAACAGTTTAGTATTCAAATATTCATGAAAGAGCAATTAAAGAGAGTAATTTAATTAAAAAATAAAAATTTTACCATTTCAGTTATTGTTCTCGCATCTTTTACACATTAGTTCCTATTCTATTCATCATATTAAAAAACATAAAACTAAAAAAAATATTAAAACAATATAATGAGTTATCTAAAGATAACCCATGAGTAATCACACTTCTAAATTATAATGACCCAAGAAACAAAAATAATATGTATCTTGGTCTTTCATATTTCTATAAAAAAAATCATATAATAATCTAATGTATGTATCAATAATATTAATTTAATAGAAATAATTTAAATATTTACATGCATTAACTTTATTGCTATTTTATGCTCTTAGCATTCAAATCTGTCTTAGGAGCACCGTCAAAACATAACATAATACACTCCTGTCCGATATTATCTCGTCGACACAGTGGTTCGTAATCTACTTTACACGATTGTCTGAGGTGAAAAATTCTCTACTTACCCCCTAGCTGATATTCTCCCGTCGGCGCAGTGGTTAGCAATCTAAATATTATATTTATCTGAGGTAGCAGGATAACATCTACATGCACAGGAACACTAGCATCCACTACCTGTTTCGTAAAGGGGTGAACTCTCTGAGCATGCATATACAAGCATCCATATATAAGTTATTTCATTCTTCATAACATACATTCTTCTCTTATGAGACACTTAAATCTATCTACTGACAAATAAATGCAATCTTACTGTATCTATAAGTCATGAAATAAACTGATAAATATGTACATTTATCAAAATTCTAAAGATCAAACAATAATATGACATATATATAAGTGATCATGCAAGAAGCTAACATGAAGATCTCTACTATAATATAAGGGTAATGCAAAAATCTGATGTATTCCTAAACAATATTGTTATGCAATTATGTTTCACATGCATACTTCATGCATAATGATTATGAATAATAGAATATAATTTTACTGACTTAAGATAAAAATAAAAAATACAAGCAAGAATATATTCAAAAATAAAAAACATTACTGTAACTCAAAAACAGAATTACTCACCTTAACCTAGCTTGCTTGTCTCACAGACTCCGTATGTCCAATCTTAGGTCCAAATGCTCTTCAACCTTATTGTTATAAATTAATATTTCATTAATTATTAATTTTAAATTAAATATATCAAACTTTAACTTTAATCAAAATAAACATTTTTGCTTCAAAGTGATTCACTTATCAATCTCAAACTAAACAATTGTTTCTTCCATTACCCCCTGATTTCAATTAAACCTACTATTAACCTCCTGATTTCAATTAAACCTAAACACAGTCACACACACGCAGATATATATATATATATATATATATATATCATTAATTAAAAAAAATGATTACTCTTCCCTTAAAGGCTTCATTTGCTTCCCTGCACACAAGGCTCCTCTTTTCTCCTTATGGTTCGACTTGGTTCGGCCTTCTAGCTTTTTTTATTCTTATGATATTGAATCATTTATAAATACTTAACACCTTTAATTAAATTTGTTAATTCAAATTTTTAGATTGACCCCTTTCATCACTATCACTAATCTTCCTCATCTTGAAACTCAAATCCAATATTCATTTCTTCAATATTTCTGATTATAATTAGCAATATTTAAAGTAAAACTCATGACATTATTTTAACTTATTATTGCATATTCTAGTAGAATAAAAAAAAAACCCTAACATGATCGGTTTGCTTCCTCTCGTACAAAAGCACCGTCCGGCATGCACGAGCCTCTCGACCACCCTTCATCCTCCTCTACCCTTGCACGCGAGCACAATGTCAAAGCCGCCCGACCTCCCTTCTTTCACCAGCAGACAAGTCACTCGGCCTCGACTGAGGCTTCCCATTCCTCGTGCGCGAAAGCTTCGCCTTCTCCTCTGCTCGAACCAGCAAGCTTCTGCTCAAACCCGCAAGCTCTTGCTTCGTATGGGAGCGCTCGACTAGGGTTTATCAGGTCGATTCTCCATTTCACACACAACTTCATCTCCTCCTTCAGCCACACAAGTGTCGAGACATTAACAGATGAACATGGTGTCTTCCTTTTCTTCTTCCTCTTCTTCTTCTCTTCTCCTTCTATGGTTTCGTCTCTCGCTCTCTCTCAGTTTTATTAGTTCGAAAAGAAAAGATATACGACTCTTTAAGTTGTAACTGAAAGATGCTTCCATTCAAATTATTATTATTATTATTATTATTATTATTATTATTATTATTATTATTATTATTATTATTAAAATTTCAGTTATTACATGATAATTGTCGGGATAGCAACAATCAGACACACCACATTGTTAACCCCTTGTGATGTGCTCCATGTTACCATTTACATGTAACTTTTTGTCCACTAGTAACTATAATTATGACCATTAGTGTCGAGCAAATTTCTACTTTTCTTAGTGTGAGTTTTAGAAATTGACCCCTAAGAGAAAGATGGGCAATGCGAGAGGAAAAGATGAACTATATTATTTTGACGATAGACTTGACTCGAGTGGACAATATCGAAGTACTTAAGTACTTGTTTAAAATATATTTTTATTTCCAAAAAAAATGATATTATGTAATGACGGTATAAGTTATGTCATCATAACATTTACTATTTAAAATATTTATTTCCCAATTTATTTTAGAATAAAAATGTCTTCTTTTCAATGTGAAGTTTGTCAGTTTATTAAGCATTACCGCGCGACTAACTATATCATTTACTCTAATTCATAGTAATATTTGGCGTCCTTGAAAATGGTTACATGTTATGATAAAAATAATTTGTGACATTTATTGATGTTCACACAAGCTTAAGTTGGTTTATTTAATGAAAGAAAAATCAGAAACGAAAATAATTTTAAAAAAATTACCATGGTGCAAACGCAATTTCAAAAAAAAATAAAATATTATGAAGTAATAATGACTTAAAATATTTCAAAAATATTTTCGATCAATTTTTCTCCAAAAAGAAATAATTAATCAAAACTCTTGTATCGACACCTCACAATAAAATAGTATGACTGACAAAAAATAAACACTTATTGAAAGTTGTTTAGGCATTAATTTTTGTCAATCAAGTGTGGAATACTTTTAAGATGAAGTCATTCTTACTACGATATTCTTCAAAAATGGAACACCAAATAAGGTTTTAAACTTTGAAATATTTATTGATATTTTCCATAAAATTTATCTAACAAATCAGTTTCTTCTTTTTTACTATTATCTCGTCCACATTTATAGTCATAATCAAAGGAAACTTGAATCATAAGCCAAAAAAAATTTCTTTGTTGGTTGTACTCCCACTCAAAAAGGGATATAAAAATTTTGATCCCATTTCTAAAAAATATTTCTTACCATGGATATCAACTTAATTAAATTATAACTTTATTTCACGCTCATCTTCAAATGGGGAACATAATAAAAATTCGACTATTACTTTTCAGGATCTTTTCCAAAACAAATATTCATAATATACCTCTCTAACCTTCAATATTAAACCTTAAAATTCAAGCTACATTAAATTAGAAGAAAGTAGGTTAGTGAAGACAATTCAAAACTTTCTACAGTACCATTTCGTGATTTTATGATCTTGTAACGACTAATAAAGAAAAAAAAAAGAACTTTGACCTTGGTATCATTTGGCATTGTCTGCTTGTGTCAAAGGAGACTCAAAAGAAAGACTTAATTGATTGTCAGGGGATTCACACAGATCTATGGCATTGATTACTTAGAGACATTTGTCTCTAATCGTAAAACTAAACTCAATAAAAATTTTTCTGTCACTTGCAACTAATCTTGTTTCCCCCCTACAATAATTGGATATAAAAAATGATTTTCTCAATGGAGACTTAGGGAAAAAAAGGTATATATGGATGATCCTTCAGAACTTAGCAAAAAGTTTGGCACGAAGATATATAAACAAAATAAAGTTATATACAGGTTTAAGCAGTCACCAAAAACTTAGTTTGAGCAATATACTTTGTTTGTTCAAAATTAGGGATACACTCAAGGATAAAAAGAATATAAAATATTTTTTAGACATTCATAAGACGAAAAAATAATCATACTGATTGTGTATGTGGACGACATAATTCTCACTAAGATATTTCCTAAACATGGAGGTTGCTCAAAAATTGTTGTTATTGGTCTTCAAGAAAACTGGGCTGAATGGCTGTAGACCTGTTAATACCTCAATTGAATCCAATAAAAAATTGGGAAATGAAAGGAATGTGATATAATGAATAGAGTTCAATATCAAAAGTTTGTGAGAAAGTTGATATATTTGTCATATACACGGCTAGATATTGTCTTTGTTGTAGTTTGATAAACTAGTTTATACACCGCTAAATATTCATATATGATATTTTAATATATTCCAAGTTTCTAACTAACAATAAAGAGGAGCATACCCAACATACCAGAGGAGTGTTGAATATTCTTTAGGAGAATAAGGGTATGAAAAAACAACGTATCATTTGTGTAGATTATTTTTTTGTGAATTCTGCAAATGTTGGGGCAAATAATAGATTAGCTAAGGCCGAGTACTGCTATGACGGATTATAGTGCTCTTAATCAAGTTGGTTATTATCAGAGATTTGTTAAAAGTTTGTCCAGCATTGTTGCATCTCTTGCTAAATTAATTTGCAAGTCAGTGAAGTTCGTGCATTTTTTAATGCCTGTGAGCATAGTTTCTAGAGACAAGAATTGTGTGACATCAACTTTTATTCTCACCATACCTTCTAGCACATGAATTTTAGATCTATAGTAATTCTTCAGATCAAATCTTGGGATGTGTCCTAATGCAATATCAAAGAGATAGCTTACACCTCTAAATAGCTTAAGGTGCACGAGAAGAATAACTACTTTACTCATGTTCCAGAGCTAACTATAGCAATTTTTGTATTGAAGCTCTGAAGACATTATCTTTATAATTGAGATTTTTGTCGATCATAAAAATTTGAAATATCTTTTTAAATGGAAAGAGTTGATCTTGAGACATTGGTGATAGCTAGAGTTGGTGAAAGAGTAAAAATACATAAACAATACACCTATTTAAGGAGAACATGATCGCAAATGCTTTAAGCAAAAACTCTTACACATAGGTAGCTTGAAAGATCACTCGGGAACAATAGCCAGGACTTAAAATAGAGCAACTTCGGGTTGAGGTAGTACCTTAAAATGCAAGTACAGCATATATCACATGACTAGTCAAATTATAATAGTAGATCAAACTCTTAGAACTCATTAAAAATAATGAATTGATGCATCTAAGAGAGCAAGTCAAAATGGATTAAAGCCCATGGATCATACAAACTACATTCCAAATTATAAGACCTCAACAGAAGATAATTCAAAAAGAACACTACATTTCATATTTTGTTCACCCAAGAAAAACAAAAATGTATTAAGATCTTAAGAAATATTTCTGGTGATCTAGCATAAAGAAAATGAAAGATTTTGTAGCTAAGTTTTGACTGGCTGGATAGTCAAGACCAAATATTAGATTGCAATCCCTTCCTATTCAAGAATAAAATAGAAGATTGCAATCAACTTTGTAATTAATTTGCCTAAATCAAAACAAGATCATGATGTAATTTGGGTTCTCGTTAATATTTTTATCAAGACTATATATTTCCAACCAATTAGAAGGGATTGCTAGTAATGATCTAAAAGGACAATATTTTTCGACTCGGTGAGATTTCAATCACCATGTCTAATCAAATATAAAAAATTAAAATTTGGCTAGGAAAGAAATACAAAACCTTTGGGCATAAGATTGACCTCCGATAATATATTGCATTCTCAGATAGATGACTAATCTGAGAGTACTATTCAAACATTAAAAAAACTGTTAAGAGCTTGCACTCTTAACTTTAAAGGTAGTTGCGAGAATTCCATTCCATGTGTAGAGTTCACTTACAATAATAAATTTCAGGCTATCATCAACATGGCATCGTATTAGACTCTTTATAGAAGAAAATATATCTCCTTTATGTTAGTCTGAGGTTGATGAGAAGAATAAGATCAATCAAATTTGAGTATGATTGCCATCAATTCAAGAGTGTTGTAGAAAATAATTTGACTATAAGCACAAGAAAATTAAATTTGAGATTAAAAATCAGGCCTCCTTAATATTTCATCTATGCATAAATGCATAAATCTACATACAAGAAAATTAAATTTGAGATTCAAAATCAGGCCTACTTAATATTTCATCTACGCGTAAATGCATAAATCTACATGAGTCGACAATAGTGGGAAATTTTAGCCTCATGGTCATTTTAAGTTTGTTTAGGAGAAGAAAAATTTATTCCTCTTTAATTTCCTTAGAGTCGATTATAAGAAAAATAACATGGAGATACCCCAACATTAGTAAAATCACAAAATTAGCCACAAAATCTCCATGCTAGAAAAATGAAATAGAAATTACCAATAATATATATTCGAAAAGCAGAAACTACTAAAAATAGAAAATAATAATAATAGAAGATACCAACGACAGAAATTTCTAAAATTTCAACACCTCCCGCAAGTTGGAGCATTGATATATATCGCAGCCAACTTGCTTACAAGAAACTAACAACTAGGCCAGAAAAGTTTTTTGATGATAATATATGCTATTTGTTGCGCTTATGGAGTGAAAGTCATGCAAATGGCTCCACAATCAATCTTTTCTTTTATGAAGTGTTTATCAATCTCCATATGATTTGTTCGATCATATTGCCTGGATTTTCTATAATGCTTATGGCACTGTCACGATACAATTTCATTGGCATGTTTATCAAGATCCACAACTCTTCAAGAATTCTCTTCAGTCATAGCACTATATTAGTCATAAGGCGATATTCTGCCTCGGCACTACTCCTTGCCACCAACTTCAGTTTCTTGCTTCGCCTGGTAACCAGATTTTCCCTAGACATAAGTACAATATCCGGACGTCGATCTCCTGTCAACAACTGAGCTCGCCCAATCAGCATCAATGTATGTTTTTATGTTTTGTTGTGTAATCTTGTGAAAGAGTAAGACTTTGTCTGGTGTGTTTTTTAGGTATCTGAGAATCCCGTTAACTGCTTCATGGTGTTTCACATAGGACAAATGCATAAATTGACTTACCAAATTCACAGCAAAGACGACATATGGTCGTGAATGTGATAAATATATCAAATTTCCCACCAACTTTTGATATCAAGTTAAATTCATTAAGTCGCATTCCTTCCCATCTCCCGGTTTTTTATTAGGATCAATTAGAGTGTTTGTAAACCTACAAGCACTCATCCTAGTTTCTTTTAGAAGATCAAGAACGTACTTCCATTGAAAAATAACAATCCATTTTTTCGATCTCGCAACCTCCATGTCAGGGAAATACCTCAGCGATCTTAAGTCCTTAATCTCAAAAACTGATGATAGAGAAGTCTTCAACTAGTTCATTTCAAATAAATCCTCTTTAGTGAAATTTATATCGTCTACATACACAATCAGTATGAACATCTCCCCATCTTTTGAATGTCTAAAGGACATTGTATGATCTCTTTATCCTTGAGTATACCCTTGATATTTTTTAAATAATGTAAATTTGTCAAACCACGGTCTAAGTTACTGCTTCGACCCGTAAAAGAAAATTTTAATTTGCACGTCATAGTCAGAACTATTATGGAATGAAATTTTGCGACAGGGGAGAATATCTCTAAACAATCAATGTCATAAGTCTGGATGAATCCCCTAGCAACCAATCAAGTCTTTGTAGCATTCTAGGAAACCATCAGAATTATAATTATATGTGAACACCCATTTGCATCTGACAATTTTCTTCCCTTTAGGTAGATTAAACAATTTCTCAGTCTTTTTTTTTCCAGAGCTTTCATCTCCTTGTAGATAGCCTCCTTCTACATAAGAACTTACAAAGCATCCTGCACAATATTATGAATCTCCATACAAAATATATATTAGGTAAAAAGAGACCGAAAATGGGTGAGAATTTTTCATATGACACATAATGAGCCTATGGATGTTGGATGCAAGACCCCACCCTCTTACAAGCAACGATGGGAAGAATGGAATCATTAGACTTACGATTAGAACTAGACTCAGGTTCAAGATTAAGAAATTCAGAACCCGAAGATAAAGTAAACTAGTCATGGGTTAAAGGCTCGGTACCTAGAAGTTCTATGGATTCTGGGTAGTGAGTTAAATTTGTTCAGTTCTATAAGTATCTAGAAGTTCTATGAATTTGGTGACTCTTTATTTTGAGTTGTCCTTTGCCGCGAGTAGAAAATTTCAAGTGGAACTAATGTCGTAATTATTTTTCTTATTTCCTCTTTGTTAGTTGTTATATGATTATGAATATCATGTGATATGTGATCGCACTATAGGAAGATCTGAATCATCATGAATATCTAAAAGACACAATCCACTTTCTCTTGATATAATATAGCTTGAATTTTCAGGTTGAACAATCAAGATTGGGGAGATATTATTTTGAGTCTTCGGTTTAAGAAAATCATGAAAAATCGTAGCCCACTCTTTATTTTATCTCTCCTTGAAGATGAGATATAAAAAAGGACTGTACTTAAGAAAAAGCAACATCCGTAGTAATGAATATTTCTTTTAGAAATATGATAGCAGCATTTATACCCCTTGTTCATAGGAGCAGAACCAATAAACACATTTTTTAGCTCGGGGTTCAAGGTTTCCTTGATTATGACTATGAATGTGAACAAATATTGTACACCCAAATATCTTTAAAGGTAAAAAGAACAAGAGTCAATTTGTTGTGTAAATTTTATAAAAAATATCAAAGAGTCTTTCAAAGTTTAAAATTTTATTGAGTGTTCTGTTTATGAGAAATGTAGTAGTTTTATTGAGTGCTCTGTTTATGAGGAATGTAGTAGTAAGAATAGCGTCATCACAAAGATATTTTGGCACAATTTATAAATAACAATGTCTGAGCTGCTTTCAATAAGTTTTTGTTTTTCTTTCAATCACACTATTTTATTGTGAGGTGTCAACACAAGAATTTGAAGGACTGTTCCTTTTTCCAAAAAAAAAAAATTATCCAAAATATTTTTGAAATACTCTAGACCATTATCACTCAGTAATATTTGAATTACTTTTTAAAATTATGTTTGTACTATGGTGTAAAAAAATTTTCTCATTTCAGAATTTTCTCCTCGATTACACCCAATTTAACCTTATGTAATCACTAGTAAAGGTTAAGAACCATTTTTTTCTAAAGTATGTAGAATACTAGTAGAATGTTTAAAAACACCTCAGATATAATTATAAATCAGAATAAATTGTATACATAGTTTATAAATTTGGAAAATAAAAGATGCACGATGATATTTGACAAACTGAGAAACTTTGCAATGGAAAGATGACAATTTTTTATCCTGAAATAAATTGGGAAATAAGTATTTTAAATACTGAAACTTATAATGACCTAACATATAATGTCATAACATAATATCCTTGTCTTTCAAAATAAATTTCAAATTTAACATTGATATTGTCGATTCGCATCAAGCCCTTTGTCAAAATAAAAGTCCAACATTTTTCCTTAGCACTGTCAATCATCCTCTTAGTAATAATTCCTATTACTCAAAACAAAAAGACTAAAAATTTCCTTGGCTTTGATGATCAAAAGTAATTTTACTAATTGATAAAATATTGCAAAATAAATTGAGAACATGGAGCACACCATGAAGGATTAACAATGAGGTGATTTTAACGGTTCTTCACTGATAATTATCAAAAAGGAATCATCGATAATTTTGACCTTTTTATTACATGCAGAAGGTCCATATGATTAAAATAATTTAGAACCAGTCATATGATTACCTGCACCACAATCAATAATCCAAGAATGAACAAAAGTAAGATTAACACTTAACAATGTATTGACTAGTACCCTTATACACTTAAGAACAAAATGAAGTCAATGACAATTTTGGACATTGAAATAACTTTTGCGAGTGCTCTAATTGCTCCTTGGTGAAAGGAACTGCATAAGTGTTGATAAAAGGCTCTTGAGTTTCATCAATAGTGGTTTGATAAACATAACCTTCATGTTTAAATTTAGTTTTCAATTTGCAGGTTTACCATGAAATTTTCAACATGCCTCTTCTGTATTTCATGACATTTTTCAATGCTTGCACCACTATGAGGATGAGTGG